CTTCCAAGTAGAGAGTTATAAAAAAAAAAAAAAAGGAGCTAAATGAAAAAGTGAAGAAATCTATACAGGCTTCTAAACAGTACAAGTATCAACATTTAGTCTGTAAACATTTAGCAGCCTCGTCACTTAATCTGTCTTACTGCTCTAACACTTGTGTATTTATTTTCTTTCTTCTTAAGAAGATACACCCAAGAGGTTGGATATTTAAATATCTTTTTTTTTTCTTAGAACAAACTATAACTCCTTTCCCATACTTAAAAAGTAATATGCCATAGCAAGTATTTTTTGAAAAAAACAACAATGTTAAATTTACTCAGATTTCATTAATAAAACCCATGCATAAAAGCATCATGTCTCTTACCCACAAAAAAAGCAAACAACAAAAAACCCCACCCTCTTTTCTTGTTATGTAAGACTTATTTTGTACTTGCCTTTAAATCGGAAACTGAGGGGATTTTTTCCTCCAGGAACATCTCACCAAGCTGCTCATCTGAATTGGCAACACATTCAATCAGCTCTTGCCGGTGGTCAGCTGCCGCTGCCCTGAATTCTGCTGGAATTTCCCCATATCGAACAACCTGACTAAGAAAAGAAATGCTTTATTTTACTACTGTAAGGATATCCAGTTAAACAGTATAAAGCACCAATGAAAAAGATAATCCCTAATGGCTAAATTTTTTTTTTAGATGAGAACAAGCTCTGATATATTTGCATTAAAATGGCAAGTGAGACTAAGGTAGATCTTTAAAATGTAGACAAGAATAGCGGGCAAAAATACTTAAACAGGCAAAGCAAACTGCCAAGGTTATACTACTAGTAAATGTAAGAGCCAAGAGTCAAAGCCAGTCTGACTCCAAAGCTCATATGACTCTTGAACATTCTATTAACCAAGTTAATCAGAATATCACAGTCACTAACAAGGAGGAATAGAGACCTGACTTTATTCCTTTCCATTAATAACAAACCCAATTACACAATTTTAACACAGAATACTTAATAGTAAAAAAGGTTACTAAATATGACACACTCTTCAACCTTAACCCCAGGGCTCCATTTCTCTAGGGGCTAGATAGGTAAGAGTTACAAATAAAATATACACAACTGAGAAATGGGTATACTTGATATTTAAAAACATCAGTCTTAAAGGTTTCAAAGTATTTCTTTAAAAATGGAAACTAATATCAAAAAAATAAGCTTTCCAGAAAACACGTTCCTAAATTAAAAAAGTAAAAGAAGCCAACTGCACATATTCAGAAAATAATTATTATCCCAAAAAATGCTCTTCACAGCCTTCAGATCATAATTTCAGGCCTTCAGATCCTTCTTGTCAGGCTCCCTGGTTCTTAGCCTTTTATGTCAGAATCAGCTGTGGGTCCTTTCGAAATTTATATACCCAGCGGTCTAGGGCTGGGAAAGGGGGCAGGTATATTAAGAAATTTCATCTGTGGTTGGGGCATACAACAAAGTTTAAGAGTCTTTCCTTTAGAAGACAAATGTGTGCCCTGGTAACTTTGGGAAAGTGGATTTATTCATTCATTTACAAATATTTTTTGAGTCCGTATTGTGTACCAGCAATTTCTAGGGCTGGGGACAGCACTGAATAAACTTGGTAAAATATCCATATCCTCTTGGGCCTTACATTCTAAGAAACAGTAGATAAACTATAGTCACTATTGTCACACAAAAAGTGAGAGAAACACCTCATCCACTAGGCAGCCTACATCCTTTCCCTGCCTACAAGATAGCTGATGAGAGGTGCCTGGGTGGCTCAGTCGTTAAGCGTCTGCCTTCGGCTCAAGTCATGATCCCAGGGTCCTGGGATCGAGCCCCGCATCGGGCTCCCTGCTCCGCG